AGACGAAACAGAGTGTGGAGAACAACTGTAATCGAATAAAAGATAGAAAGGAAATTGAATTAAATTCCGGTGGCCCGAGTGGCGAAGGTGTGCGTGTGTGTTTGTGTGATGAATGTTGAGACGTGTCGTGTTGTATTGTTCTACTGTGTAATCGATGAGTTGTATTCCTCTGCCATACGGGACTGTTTATCGTACCACGAACCACATACCATAAAGTTTTCAGTGTTTAGCAATCCTGAGAGATGAGCCATTTTATTCGAATTCATAGAGCACCGTTAGAGATGACTGGGTGCATCTCTGGTTTATAATGACTTTCCGAGGCTGATCGATGTATCAGGTCAGTGTATCTAATTTCAGTGATAAGGTCGTGTTAGCCTGTGCTAGCTTGTCATTGAAATAAGGTACATTGATCATTCATACCGAGGCAAATGAAAGGCGGTTTCTAATACTATCAAAACAGTAATGGAATGAATTCGGTTCGATATCCAGGACATGACACTTCAAGTTGATGTTATCCATAGGGCAGGCGGTCAAATTATTCTCACCGCTCGCCGTGTCCATCCATGGTTGTGTTTACTGCTTCACCATCACTCCTTGAGCCCATCTATCTCGTTAAGATACGCTGCCCTGAAGTTGCAGTGGGGGGCACCTATGCTCAGTGGACGAAGAGGACACCTGCAAATCGCTGGAACTCCTATGTTCGTTGTTAAAGCCTACCTGCTCGTAAACGAGTTATTCGGTTCCAGTACCGATTTACGTTCAAACACTAGTGGTCAAACCATTCTACTGTATAAGTTTTGCCCGGAGACCCTCTTGAGGCTGGACGAAGGCTAATCAGGTCGCCATTAAGATAAGGAAGCGTAAATAGCTCAAGGAGCGCGTACCAGCTCTCGAGAAGTACATTGGCAAACTGTAAATTCATTGCTACGGCTTTTTGTTACCAAGGTTATCTAATAAAAGCGGCCATGAAGACGGTATTTCTATTCTTCCTGATAGGTCTCGCACCAATTTTCGAATCGAAGGGATGGAAGGTTTTAGTTACGAGAAGGATGGTGTCGAAGCAAAGAACTTGTGGATATAGCAGGTCAACTCCATTCACTGCGCTACACTTCGGATGGAGCAGTTTCGAGAATCGAACGAATTAGAAGCAACAGTAGAAACAAATCCAATTCATTCAACACAATAAACGATCCATGTAACAAAAATATGCACTAGCTCAATGCTACTTTTATTGCGCAATTGAAAACTGCAGATAAATATGTCTTCTGTGCTATTTCCAATCTATCCATACAGTTGCGTATTCCTTTTGTTTATAGTACTTTACAGTATTCCATACGATATCGTCGTAGCTGGCGAATCTAAGCGATATATGTAAAATAGGATTGTGCAACAGCACGACTGGCTTCGATTCCATAAAATGTGAAACACCAGAAGCCGGTAATGACTCATCGGTACGGTCTTAATCAGCTTCAGTGCAATTACAAAGCTTTTCTCCAGGCTACGAATAGCTTGGATTTCACAATATACAATGGGATAAGCCGGTTGTACGTCATGTGGAAGATATCAGTTGTAATTTTTAGTTATATGTAATTCTTGGCCCTTGAGATGAATTCATAGTGTGGTAACAAAATCGTACATGTCAGAAATTGAAATCTCGTCCATTCCTCTTTCGTGCTCCTCCTCCTTAACACTAACGTCTTCCACTTAGTGTACGGCTAAAACAATTCTGTCCTATTGCACAGGTAGGGCAGTAGTTAGCGATCTCCTGCAACTCATAATCTAGTTGTGATCTGGTTTACCTACATTCTGGCCGAACAAATACCACAACTCTGGAAACGGCAGATTGATACCAGAGTGGTGAAAAACACTTGATTGACTGGTAGGCATCGTAAGTCATTGTGTAGGACGAATTAGTCACCGATACTACCCTTAATGTATTCGAATACGTGGTGAATCTCTAAGGAACTAATAAACACCAAATATTTTATCCTTTATTCTATTGTGCATGACGTTTTTGCTGTTCGTCACCATCGACATATGTTGTGCTAGAGCAATTTTCTTAGGCCTTTTGATCATAAATTATTAACGTCAACCCCTACTTGCTATGTAACCTTTCTGCATTTATTAATCATGCTTTTTATCAACTCATTTTCTGTATAAAAAGTTAATGATCGAAATTTGGAGGCTACGCCTTGGGCAGACGAAAATCATAACGAGAGCGACTCGATCCATTAAACCCACTGTGTAGACCTCGTTCGTAATGACAATTTCATAAATTCTAATTCTAAATTCTAAATTCTAAACAGTAAGTAAGAAATGACAGAGACAAAAAGTAAATTACTGGAATAGGTCATTTCACTGCGAAACAGCAAAAACGTGAGAAACAAAAGGCCTTCTCGTTCTTGCTATTTTAAAAAGAACGATGACATCATTATTGCAGCGGAACTTCCGGCGGATAAGAGTACACCAACGTTGTTAAGTCCACTTTTTCATGTATATCTCATTTTACACCACCTCGTGGAGCATTACTGCATGTGGGGCATGGGAAAAATGAAACAACATCACGTATTCGCAATAGCCTGGTTCGCAAGATAAGAAGGTGGGGATGGGAACACTAGCTATGAGCGCCAACTAGGGCAAGATAATATTAGTGGAAACGGAAATGGAAACATAATCACCAAATTATAATAGTATTCTCCGTCAGAAACAGAGTCAATTCATATTTTTAAATAGTTCAGGAACATCACATAGTAGTTTGCTAACCTTCTATATAAATCTGATAACGATTTACGGACCCAAGAAGGATGCATGAATTGGTTAGGCTTGTGTGTGGTATCAAACCAGAGACGACATGTACGTTGCAAAGCACCACTATCCACTGTGCTGCATGTGCCAAAAAAGCTTAAAAGGAGTGGGTCAGCAATTCCTTTTTTGCCGATTCGACACTTTATAGAGTTCTATTCGACGTGTTCGACGTACTGTACCGTCTTAAATTATCTGCTCGATCAAACCTAGGAGTCGCTACCATGATGGATGATGAGTAGTCGGATGGCAGCAAGTCTGCCGTTCCACGTGGGCTACGGCTGTATGTAATGAACACCTGATTCAACGTGGGTCATATGGATGATGAGAAGCTCTCAAATATCACAGCCGAACCCACACTCACGGATCACCTCAATAGTTCATGTCTGCATAACAAAGAAACGAGTAAAGGAAGTGATAAGGTACGATATGGATTTCACATGACAGGAACAACAATTTAAATAAGTAGGCTCTTGTGCAAACAATTAGCAGTTTGAGGACAACGTCTGTTCTAGACAGCAGAAACATCATAACAAGAAAGTTTCACAAGTAGTCATTGCTGTAAACGGATAAAGCGTTCGGAGTTGAACGATCCCAGAGTACGCCATGTATTTGACTTCATCAAGCAGTGTTTGAGGAGAATGAATGCATATTTGGTCTTTACAATGACTCGCGGTGGCCTACCGATTTATTAGTCAATGCCGCTACTCTCCTGGACAACTAGACTACCAATGAGCCGACTCGAAGAGATGGAAGGCGGTTTGGTTAGCCAGGAGCGCAGGCAGAGTCGAACTGAAGCCAATATGTGCTTACAGTACACCTCTAACCACTGCGTTACAAGCACCTCATATTCATTGACATACTCCAACAATAATCGATTGTTAGATCATCACGTGCACGAAAACTAGACGAGGTAAAATCCTGTAGCATTTGAACTTGTGAGCAAGTCAGTCAAATTTGTAATAGCATACCGCGACGGAACCGGTTTTTCGACAGCTACCAAAGGAAAAAAATTCGGTAACTAGAGTACATGAAAACCTGTGCATCTGACAGTTTAATAGATACGGCTTAAATCATTGTGTTCCGGAAAGGATAAAGCGTTCACCGTTGATCAATCCCTATGGGAAGCGCTATTCGTAGCATCATAGATGCAACTGAATGCATGTTTGGCCCACATGACGACTTTTGGCAGCCTATCGACCTATCAAATCAGTAAAGGTCAAATACGGTTTTTCTCGGTTAAAATGCCTTGGCACCAGTGCATCGAACCCAGAGGAATAGAAGACTTGGTTTCGCCGGGGAGCGATATTCAAGCACAGTCAAGCAAAACAAAAACCAACGCAATAAATCCGTGAGAAACTCTCGGAAGGCGTGAAAGTGAGAAGCTGATTCAAAGCGGGTGATAATGTCTTGCAACATTTACAAATGTTTATAAATCCAAAAATGAATAAGTAAAATCCGGTAGTTCAGGAGACTAATTGTCTCATGTTCTATCTTTATTCTATACATCATCGATTTACCCAAAAAGTCAAAAAGAACTTTAGACTGTTTTTTGTCAAAAAAGTGACGCAATTGAAATGACCACCGATGGCCTTGTTCAGAAGATTTTTCTCCAGTTCGTTTGTTAGATGAAAACCAATTTCATTTGATGCCTAAAATCCATAGTGCAAGCATAGCGCAACGGTTGAAGGAGCCATCTAATTCATATAATGCCTTTGCTTCGATCTGGTGCCTCAGACTAGCGAACCCCTCCATCTCTCGTCTAGGATGATAAAGTGTTGACTTCATGGATCAGAAGTTTCTAGCACGTCATCGTAACGGTCAAATACGCTCCTCCGCAGTGCTAGGAATGGTGTCGAATGCATAATGCATCCCAAGGGAATGATCGAGGAAAAACGATCTATCCTTTTTATTCTCCATGCCAATTCTTAACTTGCTTGATACTTGATACTTGAATGGCCCGTCCTCGCTGGTTATGCGGGCCCCAGCATAATCTCCATTTTTCGGAGATTTGCTGGTTAAGCTATTATGGTTCCCTGGGCCAAAGTCTGCCCAAGTTTTCACCATCACAGACAGTCGCAGCCCTTGTGAATCAGAGAGAGATTTACCGTCATGCGACTTTGATACTAAGACGGTGGAGGATCCTGGTATTGGTTTACTCTTAGCTAGGCTTCCTGTTGGAAATGCCGGACTCCTTCTCAGCTTGGGAGACCTTGCCAGAGCATGAATTCCCCACTGTACATCGCAGTCCGACACCCGGGAGCACCTTCCAGCCAAGATGAGGCGGCAAATCGTTGTGAGGCCAATTCTAAACCAGGTTCAGTTTTCGAATACGGACCGAATATTCGAATTACTCGGGTAATTTGAGACGGCTTTGATATTGTCACCATCCATAACAAGATCGATAAGGGGGCTGCGTTGTCAACTGGAAGAGTCCAATAGCAACCACATCGCATGCCATTCACAGAGGACATAAACACAACCAATTTGCATAACAAAAAGAAAAAGAAGAGCATGGGATGAACTGAAATGGCGAGAATGGTGGGAGGAATTGGTACGGCATGAATATGAAGGTCTTATTATATCATGATCTAAACGATAAAGTTAGTAGTAAAGATTTCAACCACAGAAATACATTTCTGCATTGTTATGTCATTTCATTTTCTTCATGATGTCACAGGTAGCAACAAGAATCTGAGAAAAGACACTCTACTTCTAAATCATCGTTGTAATATCTTAACATCAACTACAAAGCTACTCATCTCTCTCTCTTCTCTCTCTTTCTCTCTCTCTCTTACCTTTTACTTCCCCCGCCATTTCTCTTCCTTTCCTCTTTCTTTGCGTCCTTTACTCTCGCTTTTCCTCTTTCTATTTCTGTTTCTCTAACTCTCCGTCTCTCCCCCTTGTTTCTTCGCCTTCTCCGCTGCTCTTTCTCACTCTTCTCTCCCTCTGTTTCTTTGTCTCCCTATCTATCTATTTATCTATCAACCTATCAATCTATTTCGCTCTCTATTACCAGAACAACTGACCATTTGAGAAGCAAAAAAAAGGAAAACAAAACAGATTACTGGACTCTTACCTGGGAAATATTTTTTAGAAACATGACGAACAGTTGCTAAACGTATTATTCATGTTAAAATCAAAAGCAAAATAAGAATAAAATCGCTGGAAGAAATAAGAGCATCCTACGTACATTCACTAGGTAAAGCCAGCCAAAAGAAAAGATCGTGGCCGTTCGAATTTCGCCCACCTTAAAATTACTACCAGACAACCATTGAAACAGTACATCGCAGTAATCGTTGAGAGCTTTTGAGTCAGACGGTAGTCGTTGATTGTTCGAGAGTTCATTCAACAATTGTTGACCAAGTTCAAGTCTAACTCTTGGATCAAAGCTGTTCCGCTCCAGAAGTAACGACAGCCAAAACGACGACATCACGGCTTCGTTCACTTCGACTTCAGAATCATGACGACGTAAGCAGCCAACTGGGGGACGATCAGGATGAGGGCCAACGGAGGGATATGCCGGACGCGCCAGTTCCTCTGCGCTCTCTGACTCCTTGCCGACCCCCGCAGCATCGGTAGAGCCTCCCTCTCTCCCTCGACGTCTGTGCTTTGCCACTTCCTAATCGGACACGCACCTGACTCGCCAATGCCCTTAGCAGTTAGGGAAGAAGATCTCACAGAAGACAGAATGCTGATATCTGGACGCGAATTCGACGTGTTCTGAGTGTCCATCCTGGAAGATGTGAGGCTTAAGCTTCTTTCAAAACTTCCCCATCAAAGTCACCAACACTTAATTCTGTCAACGAAATGAAAGTGTTGCGAATCTATCCTTGCAAGAGACGATGCTTCTGAAGTGTGTGATTTGATTAACGGAGTGTCTAGATGATTATATTAATGACAATGACCTTAATACTTGGCAAAATCGATGGAAGCGCTGCTGAGATGATGGATATTTGTGGTATAGAACCAATAAGACTCATACATCGACTGATATAAGCAAAATTAAGTCGGTAACAAAATACTGTTCGATCTGATTCGAGGGTTTTCCAAACCAGCTGGTTTATGTGCTCATTAGATAAATCAACACCGAGACTTTGGTCCCACGGTAATTCATTCCTCTCAGGAATCCGATGCCAGATTCTTTTGCTGAAATGGTCGAATGCCAATGAAAAAAATACGTTCCTTATCAGCATAGTGCGTTTTATGCCCATATTACTTTAGATGAATACGTTTCACAGAATTTCTTAAGTTGAACATCGTTCCGTATAGTTTTACAGGATTTTCCGAAGCCTTATAGCTCTTCTACTTTACGTTCTCTTTCTTACGTTTGTTCCTCTTCAATGAGGAAACATGTTGGCCTCGTCGTTATCCCGGAGCTCCCGGCGGTAGTAGATAGTGGATTCCGTAGAATTCATGAGGAACCGACAATTAAAAGCGATTAATTCGTTTTCTTGAATTCGTCTGAAATTATTTTTTGAATTTATCTTCTGCGTTTAATGCGATTGATGTCTTGGTTTCGTGTTCTTCCGTTTTTGTTATGGACGTGTTCGGCTGGGTCGATTGCAGTCAACTTGACCTTTCCGGGCTCTCAAGAAGGCAAAATCCGCAGAAACGTCAGCTATTGTGAATGAATGCTATGTAGTAACAACTTCGTATGTGCCAATGAAGAAAAAAGCGAGTTGCAAGAACTTATCTCTTGTTTTTTTAAGAAAAAACAATCACAAAAGTTTCAATGGTTGAAATCGCTACCGAAGAGGTGTTCCTTCTTCCGTGAACTTCGCTGTGCTTAGGATTTTTTAATTGTTTTCTTCGTGAATTTTCGAGCCACCAACAACATATTAAACAATTTTGTAGGAAACCTTTAAAGTACTGTTCCAGAAACCAGTTATGTTTTGTGAATCTTGGCGGGTCCTCCACGTGAAATCGGAGACACAACTCCCGTTGTAACCTCATTAAGTTACTGAATGAGTTTGTTAGGATTCATCTGGAGCTCGACCATTCGTAAAATCGATTGTGTGTCGTTTGGCTAACGAATGACCATCTGCGCTTTCCGTTCAGGTTACGAGTCCGATTTAGCCTTTTTTTGCTTACAAGTGAAATGTCCGTCACTTTTCTACTAAGAGATTGTTTCACTGCTGAACCTTTAGGAGATTAAATGCTAAAGCTTTTGACTTTCTTGTGGAACGTGTCATATGCTCAACTTCTGTATCTGTCCTATGAAATTGCTTCCAGCGGGCTGACAGCCTACTGCTGTATCGAGTTAGTGCTGTGATTCTCCCAAGCATGTCTGGTACCAATTTGCCGATTGTGGATTGTTGCAAGGCATGACAAGTGCAGAGCGCTGATTCGAACCAAAGTGTATTGCATGGCATCTCTGATTACTGTGCTACAGTCGCTCATTGAACGTTATATCACCGATTAATTTATCGGTCTTGCAGAAGTGAGCTTCTTTAGGAAGAGAAGCTGAACGTTACTTCGACCTTGGACTAAACTCGATATTACTATAGTTGTGAAATGAGCCACAAAACTCTGTGATATCCAGAAGATCATGGGAAAGTTAGACATGTTGAGCTGGATTTTCGTGCATAGTGAACTTTCCTTAAAGTTTTTAGGGTTTTGTCTATAACAAAAAGCACCAAAACACCACGGTCTAATGAAAAGCGCAGTTAGATTCTTTGGAAAGGCGTACAGTGAAAAATCGTTTTTTACAAATTTGGAGTTTTTCAGCCATGTTTGAGAACTGCAACCTAAATAGCATTGTGTATTACCGTTACCGGTTTTGAGCTAAAGCTCTAAAATTTATTCAGGGTTTATCACGCGTATTACGATCGCTGTTTTCCCTGAATCCGGGATATGGACTTGTCGCAAAAACCGGCTAGCTCCCTTCGTTTCTTCGAATTTTTCAATCATTTACTTGATTAGCCTCATTTAAAGATTGAGGGACGAATTTAGCGCAGTGATTAGAGTGTGCTCTGCAATATAAACGTGATAATTGGTGCAATTCCATTCGGAGCTAACAAACTCTCTCATCCTTTTAGTGTTGTCATATTGGTACGAGCTTTGTCTGGAAGGATATAACTCTCACGGTAGCCCAGTGCAAATCATAAAAGCCAGGTGTGCGCTCATTCACCTCTACGATGCTACAAATGGAGTTGAATTCATGGCGCATCCCATTGTGACTGATTAACGCCAAACGCTTGACCATAAAGAGAATAGACGTGAAAATATAAGTTATCTGCCACCACTTGCTATTCCATTAGCCTAAAATTCCCTTTCGCACATGTCGCAACTACCCACATGATTCCTCCCAATTCCAGTGACATGAACAGCATCACCCTTTTGGCATGACGCCCTTTATTTCTACTATTTTTCACGAGAAGGTCACAAGCATGACTGAATTCATTGGTTTTAGTGATCAGCTGTGGTGTGTGCGAAATCATTACAACATTGGGAATAACGAATCCTAAATAAAACGTTGGAAGAAAATTTCTGAGACTCGTCGAATGGACCGATGGTTCGCTATGGTACCTCGATTGAAGCAAGTTCTCACTATCCGTAATGCTGGCAAATTTCTAGCAGATTTAATGTAGGAGGGTAGTAGTACTGACGTGATACATCGGTGAGCCACTATTATCCCTGCGATACTACGAATGGAGACGAAGTCATGCTGCATATATGAGGGATTGATCGACGCGAATCACCTTGTTCGTTGTCTTTTTAAAAAGCTTCTGATGTCCTATCTTGATAATAAAACAAAGCATGACCGGTTTTTCTTTCACTTTTTTCGCTAATATAATAGATCGTACGTGTTTTGTCTTCTTATAGGATTTATAGTGCAATCCAACGTTGATTTAACGCTCGCACAATTCGAGAACGAGAAATCATTCCTACACCTCGATTTTCACATTACAGGTACCGTAACGACCCCATAAAGAGGTAACGAAAAACGTTAGGGCGACCTTCCATTGTGGTGGCATCTATTTGACTGAGACATGCTTTAACAAATATGGCATGATGTAGTCATTTTTTATTTACTGTCCATTCTTTTTTTCATGGTAGCGTATAATGTGGAGTATAACCACAATGATACTGAGATACTTGCAAAACTCCAGACCGCATGTGTCTACGGAAAGGATCAAACCCGCTATTATCCTTCTGGGGACTAACGTGTTCACCACCACACCATGACACTATGTCGTGCCGTTAGAATAGAATAGACAATAAATAAAACGTGACTGCATTGTGATTTATACTACGGCTTCAGCTTAACTGGGGTCCATACCTACTTTTGCTGTCCAGATTAATTCCGTTAACGGGTGATGGCAATGATAGATAGAAAACTAGCTGAGAGAAAGGCGAAACGAAAGACACGCATGGTGCGGTGGTAAACACGTTAGCCTTCGGAAAGGGTCATAGCGTGTTCGATCCTCACCGCAGAGACTTGCGTTCTGGAGTTTTGCAAATATCTCAGCATCATTGTGGTTATGGCATGATAGTTTTCCAGAACCAAGTCACCCGTTTGAAATCGCAGTTTCCACTTTTAGGTGACAATTCTCAACGCATGAAATAAATAAACAACACTGATGAATATATTTGTTTAGATTGTTCCGCCTATAGGAATTTGTTGTAAAACCTGTATTCGATTAACGTTTGGACGTCCTCGTTTTCTTCACAACTGATGATCCGAATCGAGTACAACAAGTACTGAGACGACTGCGAAGAACCATAACGTGAGGATGGCGACTGGAGGGCATCGACTTAGATCATCGGCCTTGAAGAAGACGAGATCGTTATTCTCCCTTATTTCATATGACAGAAGGTGGCCGTGGCTATCTAAGAGATCTGAGCACTATTCGTGAATGATTTTCTCCATTGTTTTTCTGGACGCTGTAACTGCTCCGTCTGGCCGTCGGACTTGTATTAGATCAGTTATTCCTAGAAAACCTGATTATCCACAGCGCCATTCCAGGTTCTGAAAAACCACAATGAAATTTGTCGGTTAGAAGCAAAATTGGAAACATAATACCTCCGCATTGAGGTTTTATTCACATTTACAGCTGTAAACTCCATTGGTTTACCGCTTTATGAGGTGAAGAAGTGGAATTAGATCTCCATCACTTGACCAGACATGCAATCCAAGAAAGAGTTTGACATCTCCAACCAGAAGCGCGGCTGAGAGCTAATTTTAGGAGCTGCCATCCTACTAATAGAAGCCTTTTGACCTAGAAGCCCCAGCATTCCAGACTCATCGGCTGCGGTATCGAAGTTTCAACCCCCTTGAATGATCCTGCCAAAATTCCAAGAAGAGAGCTCCTGCAAAAACCACAAACATAACACATAAGCAATGAATGGTAAGAAAACTGTACGAGCCTCATGAAAGCGGATTGTTTATGCATTCCACTATGTACACCAAAAGTTTTTGGATGATCA